GCTCTAACAATGGGAGTTCTAGTGGAAAGAATGTTATTAACAAGAAGGGATTGTTTGAGTTGCCTCGTGATCATCACCGCGAATTAGAGGCCGAGCTTAAGAAGATGGCTCCGCCGAATGGGAGAGCCGTGCTTGTTTTTAGAGCGAAATGCGGGTGTTCGGTTGGGAGATTAGAGGTTCCTGGACCTAAGAAGCAGCAGTTGCAGCAAAGGAAGTTCAAGAAATGAAGAAGAAAAAAGGTTGGATCTTTTTGAGGTAAAGAAAGATGGGATTATTTACAGGTTATGATGATGATTACACTTTGATTAGCTTATAAAACAACTTTTTTTCTTTTGGGGGTTTAGTTATTATTCATAAGTAATTTATGTTAATCATTTTATGTGTTTAAATAATAAAGGCTCTTACAATGAGGATATTGCAGAGAAAATGGTTATAGTGAAGAATAATGATTTGTCTTTTTAACTCTAAGAATGTTATTAACAAGAATGGAAAGTTCTTTGGTTTCTCAGTTTCTTGATTCTGTCTTTTTTTTTTTTTGTTCTTACTTTCATCGGTGTAGTGATTAAAAACCCTCTTGAACTCTGTTCTGTTCTGATAAGCCAATGAAATTGGAACTGAATACAGAGATTCATATCTTTTCTATAGTATAATCATTTCCGGTTTGGGATATGTTAGTAACGATAACGAGAGAAGAGTCAAACATACAAAGTGTAAGGAAAAATTATGCGAAAAGGGACCACACAGAGAGAGAGAGAGGTTACCATGAAACTCTATCTGCCTATTTACCCTCCAAGTGTATGGTTCTGTGAAATTCAATTGAAAGTAAGGGGGAAAAAACTACAAAAAGGAGATTGGAAAGATCAAGGGTTGAGATGTGCTCTAAAATTATGATTATATCAATCTACATATACACATATCTATGTAGAGATTTATGATATTTAGTTTTTTTTTGTTCCATAGTACAAATCTCTAGATCATTCAAGAAGACAAGTATATGTTCCAGAGAAAGACAAAAGAAACTAGAAACATCCTCTTTGTTTATAGTCATCACTCACCATCACCTTTTTGTTTATATAACAATCTCAAACACCTTTAACAAAATAAAACAATATTGATCACACCCATCAAATAAAACATCTTTGACGCATAATCTTGAGAAAGAACAAAGGTATTGGCTTTGATGATGAAAATGGCATCACCATCATCATCAGCTTTGTCTCTCCCTCTCTCTAACATCCCAACCTGTAATAAGTCCCAAGAGTTTCCAAAACCAAACCATCTATCCAAATCCAGTCACAGACATAACCCTAGAATCAAAACACCATCTTTAGACCATAAACTCACCAAGAGAGCACTACTGAGTCTGACTGCCTTGGGGTTTACGTCATCTCTAGCAACTTTTCTTGCTCAACCCGCAAAAGCTGATCAACCAGAAGCTCCCATTGAAGCCACGTCCAATAGAATGTCGTACTCGAGATTCCTGCGCCATCTGGAAGAGAATGAAGTGAAGAAAGTTGACTTGTTTGAGAACGGGACGGTTGCGATTGCAGAGATCTCTAATCCAGCATTAGGAAAGATCCAGAGGGTTAGGGTTGACCTTCCGGGTTTACCGGTTGATCTAGTGAGGAAGATGAAGGAGAAGAACGTCGATTTTGCTTCTCATCCCATGGATGTGAACTGGGGAGCTTTCTTGCTCGGTTTCTTGGGGAATTTCGGGTTTCCTTTGATCTTACTTGGCTCTCTGATCTTAACATCTTCTTCACGTAGAATTCCTGGTGGACCCAACTTGCCTTTTGGTATTGGAAGGTAAAAATATCATTCATAATCAATCAAGTTTGAATATGAACACAAGATTGAGTTTTTCTAAAGTATGTTTTCTTGTAACAGAAGCAAAGCCAAGTTTGAGATGGAACCAAACACAGGGATAACGTTTGACGATGTAGCAGGAGTAGACGAAGCCAAGCAAGATTTTGAAGAGATCGTTGAATTCTTGAGAAAACCAGAGAAATTCTCAGCCTTGGGAGCTAAAATCCCAAAAGGCGTCTTGTTGACCGGACCGCCGGGAACCGGAAAGACTCTCTTGGCCAAGGCTATAGCCGGAGAAGCCGGTGTTCCGTTTTTATCATTGTCTGGGTCAGAGTTCATAGAGATGTTTGTTGGTGTAGGAGCTTCTAGGGTTAGAGACTTGTTCAACAAGGCAAAGAGTAACTCACCTTCTATAGTGTTCATTGATGAGATTGATGCTGTTGGGAGAGTGAGAGGAACCGGTATAGGAGGAGGAAACGACGAACGTGAGCAGACACTAAACCAGATTTTAACCGAAATGGACGGGTTTACTGGGAATACCGGAGTGATTGTGATTGCTGCAACGAACCGGCCGGAGATTCTAGACTCTGCTTTGCTCCGACCAGGAAGATTCGATAGACAGGTACTACGTTTGTTATAAACCGAAACAAAAATTCCCAAATTGTAATCAAACCGGACCGGTTTGGTATAATGTAAATTTGGTTTTGATCAGGTTCAAGTTGGTTTACCGGATATTAGAGGAAGAGAGGAGATACTAAAAGTCCACGGCAAAAGCAAGAAACTAGACAAGGAAGTAAGCTTGAGCTTGATTGCAATGAGAACTCCGAGTTTCAGTGGAGCTGACCTAGCGAATCTGATGAACGAAGCCGCGATTCTCGCCGGAAGAAGAGGAAAAGACAGAATTACCCTTGAAGAGATCGACGACTCGATCGACCGGATAGTCGCGGGAATGGAAGGGACGAAGATGGTCGATGGTAAAAGCAAAGCGATTGTAGCGTACCATGAAGTAGGACACGCGATTTGTGCGTAAGTCCCGGTTCGATTAATTCGTTTCAACGGTTTAGTCAGTTAACGTCGAAAATTAACCGGTTTTTGTTTCGGTTTAGGACTTTGACCGAGGGTCACGATCCGGTTCAGAAAGTTACGTTGGTTCCTAGAGGTCAAGCACGTGGTCTCACGTGGTTCTTACCGGGAGAAGACCCGACATTGGTGTCTAAACAACAATTGTTTGCTAGAATCGTCGGCGGACTCGGTGGCCGAGCCGCGGAGGATGTTATCTTCGGTGAACCAGAGATAACCACTGGAGCCGCCGACGATCTCCAGCAAATCACACAGATCGCTAGACAGGTACAATAATATACCACAAACTTAAATTAAAATATCTTAACCGGAAATAACCGGTTCTTCTTTTGGTTTCAGATGGTGACCATGTTTGGTATGTCGGAGATTGGTCCGTGGACACTAACGGATCCAGCGGTTAAGCAAAACGACGTCGTTTTGCGGATGCTTGCGAGGAACTCAATGTCCGAGAAACTCTCCGAGGACATTGATTCTTGCGTGAAGAAAATAATCAGTAACGCTTACGAAATCGCCAAGAACCACGTGAGGAATAACAGAGAAGCCATGGACAAGCTCGTTGATGTTTTATTGGACAAGGAAACCTTAACCGGAGACGAATTTCGAGCTATTTTGTCAGATTATACTGATAAACCGTTAAATTCCGATGATGGAGTTCGAATCAGAGACTTGATTAGTGCTTAATGAAAAAGCGGTTTGTGGCTAGATCTCTACGTTTGTGTTTATAACGAGTATGTATGAGTATAAAATAAAAAACACATAGAGTTTTTTCACGAGGTTCAGTTTTTCCTACATCTTCGGGACCTAGTCTAGAATCAATCCATTTGAAAAGGCCGCAATCTACAATTGCTATATAGCATACCACCACTCTTTTCTACATGGACAAACTATGAAGATAGGTATCAAGCACGCATGCTTGACAACCAACCAGCAGCACCGGTGCAACACCGTCTTCTAAACGGCTGCAATTTTCATAGACAAACCACCATCAATATGGTGGGACGACGCCACACACACATGTGTGCATCTCACAAAGGAAACCCCAGGGGCGTAACTCTTTTTGTCAACGCCTCTTGCCTTTTATACTACCACCACGAAACCCTCACGTTTCATGTCATGTGGGCTTTTAACTTCTATCATTATTGGGCTTTCTAATTCAATAAGAGCCCAATCTCACTTTTCTCCACGTGTTGGAACAGCTCCGCATGTGTTCCAGCAGCTCGTATTCTGTTCCTCCAGAAACCTCTCTTTCATTCTCCCCCTTTTTGACTGAATGTGTGCATCCAAGCTCATCTTCAAACTCTCGAGATTCAGCATCGACTCCCCCTCAGTGGTAGCATCAATACTTTCTTGATACTCACTTCTTGAAGCTTTTCATTGGGATTTGTTGGAGATACATCGGCACATTAATCTCCCCTATCTTGGTTAACACATTCATTCAAAACCTCTCAAGAAAATCAAGGAACAAGGACGTACATCACACTCTCCTTCTGTGAAAACCAATTTTTTTTTTTAAATCAACCTATGTTCTTGGCCATGTTCCAATAGTATATTTCCTGTTCCAACATCTGTTCCAGCAGTTTTTCTACAAAGTTGATCAATTTCTTCGCTAGAGAGAAACATATATAACTCTCGGATTTCACATCAGAATTGAGTTTCGTTTTTTCCTCTAGAAAGCTGACTTTGTTATCTTTGCAACGGTGTCAAGATCGATTTTTGGTTTGTTCTGGTCTGCCGGAAAAATAGCTCGAAAGTGGTTGATCGCAGCTGATATTTCGCTTTCTCTTCAGTTCTCNTTCTCTTCCATACCCAAGTTACTCCTTCTATCACATCCTTTGAATCTCTTTGGCTATATCAGAAGCAATTTGATCTCTCTCTCATGTTCGTTTTCAAGCCCATAAACTTCAATCTTCTTCTTCGTTGACATGAACCATGATAAACCCCTAATCTCATACTTTGCTCTTCAATCCTAACCACCAAAACCGAATCCCGGATCATACCCGAAAATAAGAATAGATCTCTATCGAGTCCCGCTCTGATACCAATTGAAAAAGCGGTTTGTGGCTAGATCTCTACGTTTGTGTTTGTAACGAGTATGTATGAGCATAAAATAAAGAACACATAGAGTTTTTTCACGAGGTTCGGTTTTTCCTACATCCCCGGACCTAGTCCAGAATCAATCCATTAGAAAAGGCCGCAACCTACAATTGTTATATGGCATACCACCACTCTTTTCTACATGGACAAACTATGAAGATAGGTATCAAGCACGCATGCTTGACAACCAACCAGCAGCACCGGTGCAACACGTCTTCTCAACGGCTGTAATCTTCATAGACAAACCACCATCAATATGGTGGGACGACGCCACACACACATGTATGCATCTCACAAAGGAACCCTAGGCGCGTAACTCTTTTTGTCAACGTCTCTTGTCTTTTATACTACCACCACGAAACCCTCACGTTTCATGTCATGTGGGCTTTTAACCTCTATCATTATTGGGATTTCTAATTCAATAAGAGCTCAATCTCACTTTTCTCCACGTGTTAGAACAGCTCCGCATGTGTTCTAACAACTCGTATTCTGTTCCTCCAGAAACCTCTCTTTCACTTAATACTAATCAAACCCGAAAGAAAAATAAATAAATATAAAATACTATGGTACTATTTAGGATTACATATTTTCTTCCTAAACAAAAGAATTTAAAACTAGTCCTTGCTTCGGTACTATTGGGATTTCAAAACCGGCCAAAAATGTCCTTCACAGCTTGGTAAGTTCCGGTTATCACAACCACGATACCGGTTAGTATAATACCGATGAGAACCAGTGTTTCGAAACCGAGGCTTCGGTATTTGCCAGAGATCTTTAGGTAACACAAACATGGCAATATAACTGATGCAGTTGCGCTCAAGAATGCTCCGACTAAACTCATGAGATCACCGAAAAACGGAATAAGTAATGCCACAATCACATTGCTAGTGACCAACATCGTACTCAGAAGTAAACCGGCGGTTCTTTTGTTAGGCAAAAACCGAGAAAACCGGCTTCTCATTGCGTCGGTGATAGGCGTAACCATGAGAGCAAACTTAGCAATAGGGTTCACCAATGTAGTCCATATCGCCACCTTTGAACTTAACTTATCGGTCGGAAGATTCAATGTTATTTGTGATTCAACATTTGATCCATACATTAAGTAACCCAATATCGCCACTGATGCATATATGAATGTGCATATTGTGAAACATATAACCATAACCTACAGATGAAATAAAAAACAGAGGAAAATCATTAGTCTGAGTTTTTGACTAGATAAAATCTAAATGGTACAGTTTGACAAAACTTACGTTTGAGAATTGGCGTTTGTTCTTCATGGAAGTGTATAGAGTTGGGAAAACCGGGTGAGCGCAATAGCAAAAGGCGTATAAGCTCACGGAAGTCGCAACTCCATTAAGGCGAAAGATCTCTGAGTCATTGTTCTTAAACCCTACTCCTTCAAAAGCTCCAACCCAAAAGATAGAAGCAAGAATCAACCCGGAAGCAAAGACACCACTCGCGGAAACATACGAAAGAATCTTAATATTGTCTAACCAAACCGAGGGAAGAATAATGAGAGCTACAAGGACAATGAACATTTGCTTGCCTCCGAATTCGATACCCATGAAGTTGAATCCAACGTTTGAGAAGAGTTTATTGAGGTTGTCACCTTCTAGGATCAGGAAACTAGTCGCAACTAGGTAAAGCTCGAGGTTCATGAAGATAGAGACAATGATACGTCCTGTGTTTCCAAATGCTTTGTAGCCAATGTCAGGGTAAGTTCTAAGAAGTGGATCCATGTCCATACATCTCTTTATGAGAATGGCACAATAGAAAGTTGTGATGGCTACGGTGAAGAGTATGATCAAAGTTAGCCATCCTCCGGATGCTAAAGCATAAGGGACCGATAATATACCCACACCTACAAAAAAAAGGATGATGAATGATTGTTTAAATTTGTAATCATTCCAAATTATAAATATAAACGTAAATAGAAAGTCAATAACCTTGTTCAAGATCGTTGTCAAGATAGATTAAGATTAACACAATTTGAAAAAAGCAAGAAGTGTTCGTAATGTGTTAGATTTGTTCAGGGACACGTATTTTGAGATTGATAGAGAATTTGAATTTTTTTGTTTGTTTCTTTTTAATCAATGAGATGGTTTTTTTCGTCGGTATACACATATATGGATATATATGAAATGGCTTCTATAATAAATTATTAATGCTTGGCCAAACATGTGTAAAACTCAAATCTAGTTTGGTCAGTAAACATTAAATACGATTACAGTAACGTGTTTGATGGACTCATAACCCATACTGAGCTAATAACAATACTCGATTGGAAAGTTTGCCAAATGTTTACTTTATACAATGTCATATAACTCATTTAAACCAACCCAATGTAACTACTACAGAATAAAGCTTTATTTACCCTAAATTATGATTCTTATGTAAACGAATCTAGACGAAGAGAAACCTAATTAGAATTGGTTTTAATTTAGTCATAATTATTTCTATTGACGACAAAAAAGAATTAATCAACCAAATATCTGAGGCGAAGATAGCTCGGAGCCAAAGATAAAAGATTGGATTGGACATCTACACACCAATCTCTAGATACAAGATAAAGTCAAAAGTTTGAGTTAAGAACATCTAGAATATAGCTAAATTTAGCTTTTTGTCTATCATATTAACAAAAAATTAAGTTATGTTTTCAATTTCATCAAGAAAAAAAAAAGTGAGTAATGACTATATATAATTAAATAAATTAGAAAAACACGACATGCATATGTTGGATCCTCAGCCGTGAGTAATGAAGCTTGAAGATAAGAAGATAAAGGAAACCTGATAAAGCGTTAATGCCATGGAAACAAGTCTTGGAGAAAGATGTATTGCCCTGTGGATTACTATCGGAATCATAATCATGAAGGGTCGCTTCTTCTTCATCATCAATCTTCTTAACGATGAATGGCTCCGACATGATATTTTCCTTCTCGTTCATAATTGTTTAATCCCTCGACTTTGTTCCTTCGATGTC